CTGTAGTTCCAGACGCAGCACCCAAATATAAAATTTTGCTTCCACGAGGCATATGAATTTGATCTATCCCTCCAAGTATGGCTGCAGCTAATTTTGATCTAAAAGGATTCCAAACTCTATATTCAATCTTTTCACCATTCTCGCCCTGCAATATTCACATAATTAATCATTTTATTTTTCAAAAATTAAACAAATTATATTAATTTGCTTTTATATTTTATATTATATTACCTCCACACTTATCCTCTTTTCACCATATACTTCTGAACCTGGCACCGAATTTAAAGTAACTAATGCATCTTCTTTTCCTCTAGCTATAAAAACACCTTCGTGACGATGTGGTTCTATGACTACAGTTTTGCCACCTTTGAAACCTCCACCACGTCCTCCTTCTCTTCCTCTTTTACCTACACGTCCTCTTGCTACACCTCCACCTCTTCCACCACCACCACCTCTACCACCACTTCGACCACCTCCTCCTCTTCCTCCACCACGACCACCACCTCCTCCTCCACGTCCACCTCCTCTACCTCCTCTAAATCCACCACCACCTGGTGCAAATCCTATAATAAAATAATTTTATAAATTTTTTGGATACGTATAGGTTATGTTAATGTAATGTATCATACAAATATCAAAATTATAGTTTATCTGACTGAATGCCTTACGTGTTCACATGAAACAAAAAATGATTGATCACGTTCGCCTAAATTTATATATATAATTTATAAACTAAATAATCTTATACTGCATGAGCATAAAATACGTAATTATTTACATCCCAGATTACAGAAATCATGTTATGACACTAGAAATTTTCATTTCACAAAATATCGAACATAAAAGCAACATAAAGAAGATTATTAATTACCTGGCTTGCCCATTTTAGAACTTAAATATCCGAGTTTCTATTCCGAATTTATTTCGACTTGCTCTCACACGTGTAAACAACAAACTACACAATTAAGTCCTCGCGGAAACGATGTTCAATTCCAAAGATCTTCCGGTTTAGCTCGATATATCGATTTTAATGTATATCAATACATTAAGATCGATTAATACTTCAAAAATTTATTGTATAAATTTGTAAATAATTTATTATCAAATTTTCAAACATCTTTTTACTAAAATATTGTTATACGAATCGACTATAATTATTTCAAATATTAATTATGTTTTAGTACATAAAAAAGTTATTTCTCTTTTAATTTTTTTTATGTGTATAAATTAAATATATACCATATTTAAATAAACTATGCATGTATTTAGTACATAAAAAAGTTATTTCGCTTTTAATTTTTTTTATGTGTTATAAATTATATATATACCGTATTTAAACTATGCATGTATTTATATTTTTAAAGCTAATAATTTCTTGTTATATCTTCAAAAAAAATATTGTTTTATGAACACAAGATTTATAATTGTGAAGCATATAAACTTGCATTTGTGTTTGTGCTCTATGGGCAGTTAAAATGACATTATAACCTTATATGCATTTTGTTTGAAACCTCATAGTTTTTAACAAATATTAACAAATAAAATATTAACAAATAAAAATATTAACAAATAAATGTTATTATCGTGTATCGTATTGTTATTTATGTAATAAATAATATACAATTATGAAGTAAACATAAATTTTCATTTAACAAGATTCTTTGTTACTTAAAATGTAAAGTTTAACTATATATTTATATTTACAGAATCACTGTTGATGGTTTACTTGTATATTTTCCTTACGATTACATTTATCCAGAACAATATGCTTATATGCTCGAGCTGAAACGAGGCCTGGATGCTAAAGTAATTATTTTGTATACTTTTGTGATTATTTATATGATTATTGATTAATGTCTAAATTTTATTTATAATTTTTAGGGGCACTGTTTATTGGAAATGCCCTCAGGCACTGGCAAAACCATAACTCTGTTATCATTAATTGTTGCATATATGTTGGAAAATCCATTAGATGTGACAAAATTAATTTATTGTTCTCGAACTGTACCAGAAATAGAGAAAGTTATAGAAGAATTAAAAAAGCTTGTAGACTATTATGAAAAAGAAACGGAAAGTAAGCCTAAAATTGTTGGCTTAGTTCTTAGTTCACGGAAAAATATGTGTATTCATCCAGAGGTAATCAACTTTAAATTTAATTGATAAATTAAATAAATAAATGCATACATGTATTAGTTGACCAATAATAGATTTAAATTAGATAAGCAGGGAACGTGAAGGCAAAATTGTTGATGGACGTTGTCATTCTCTGACAGCATCATTCATTCGTGAGAGACATAATTATGATGAATCAACGCCAATTTGTAATTTTTATGAAGGATTTGACATTGAAGGTAAAGAACAACTTATGCCACCAGGTATATATTCTATTGATGACTTGAAAGAATATGGAAGAGACCGCAATTGGTGTCCTTATTTTCTTGCAAGATTTACAGTAAGCATTTTAGAAAACAAGTTGTTTATATATTAAGATAGTGCAAAATAAGTATTAATCCTTTTCATCATGTAATTTTAGATTTTACATGCCCAGATTATAGTGTACAGTTATCATTATTTATTAGATCCTAAGATTGCAGAAACTGTGTCAAAAGAATTAAGTAAAAGTTCTGTAGTAGTATTTGATGAAGCTCACAATATAGGTACAATGCAATTAGAACATTAATTATATGACATGAAGTTTAAATAATAGAATTTAATTACTCAATTAATTTTAGATAATGTATGCATTGATTCAATGAGTGTAAAGATTAATAGAAGAAGTTTAGAAAAAAGTTCAGCCAATATACAACTTCTTGAAAAAACTGTGGCCGAGTAAGTTATATATACTAAATATTATATTGAGTAATGTGAATAGCAACTGTAGTATTTTAATTTAGGATGAGAGAGGATGATGTAAATAAATTAAAAGAGGAATATGAGAGATTAGTAGAAGGATTGAAAGATGCACATGTTGCACGAGAAACTGATATTATATTAGCTAATCCTATTTTGCCAGACGAAATTCTACAAGGTAAATTCTAAATATGTTTAAAATAATAATAAATAAAGAAAATAATAATGAATTATGTAATTATGTAAATATTTGTTATAGAGGTGGTTCCTGGCAATATTAGGAACGCAGAACATTTTGTTAGTTTTTTAAAACGATTTGTAGAATATTTAAAAACGCGTTTACGCGTACAACATGTAGTTCAAGAATCACCTGCTGCATTTCTGAGAGATGTTCAAGCAAAAGTTTCAATAGAACGTAAACCATTAAGATTTTGCGCCGAACGACTGGCTTCTCTCTTACGTACTATGGAGATAACCGACTTTACTGATTTTTCACCGATCATATTAGTGACACATCTTGCTACATTAGTATCTACATATACGAAAGGATTTACAATTATTGTAGAGCCATTTGATGACAAAACACCAAATTTAAATCCTATTTTTCACTTCGTTTGTTTAGATTCGTCTATTGCAATAAAACCTATATTTGATAGATTTCAGTCAGTAATAATTACTTCAGGAACATTGTCTCCATTAGACATGTATCCGAAAATATTAAATTTTCATCCAGTCATAATGTCATCTTTTACTATGACATTAGCTAGACCTTGTCTTTTACCTATGGTGAGTGTAATGTTGTTTAGAATATCAGTTGTACTAAAATTTTAATTGTAAAATATCAGATTGTAGCAAAAGGTAACGATCAAGTCGCAATTTCATCAAAGTATGAAACAAGAGAAGATGTTGCTGTTATAAGAAATTATGGTCAACTATTAGTTGAATTTGCAGCTACTGTTCCTGATGGTTTAGTCTGCTTTTTTACCTCTTACTTATACATGGAATCTGTTGTTGCTGCATGGTTTGTATTAATTTATCTCATACTTATAACATTATATGCGTTAAAGTCAATCACGACTGTCATTTGTGTACCTTCGAATATGTCTATTCTTCACCCACTATTGTGGAAAATGAAATGAATCTTTTTTACATAAATTACTGAATTTAATTTATAAAACCAGCCTGCTGGCTTCTACAACA